CCGCCCCTTTCAGTGCGTCCCTCTCGCTCCGATTGGCTGCCGGGGCCCGGCCCCTTGCCACGTGACCGCGCCACGTCCCGGGTGCGCCCCGCACTGGAGCAGGCCGGCGCGCTCAGGCTTGGTGGGAGCGATGTGGGCTGTGGGCGTCTGGCGCGCTGCGCTCGGCCGGGCCCCCTGCGGCCGCCGCGCGCAGTCAGCGCTGGCCCAACTGCGTGGCATCCTGGAGGGGGAGCTGGAAGGGATCCGCGAGGCTGGCACCTGGAAGAGTGAGCGGGTCATCACGTCCCGTCAGGGGCCTCACATCCACGTGGACGGCGTCTCCGGAGGTAACACCCGGTCCCGGGAGTCATTGGCCCTGCACAGTGTTCCGGGGCCCTTCCCGGCTGGCACTGGAATAGAGGTCCTGGAGCGGGGGTGGGCGGCTCCTGCACACGTCGCTACTGGTCCCCTTCCCTTCTCTCAGTCCCAGGAGGACTTTATGGCTTCCCCATGTTGACTCCAACCTGGTTAAACCCGTTTCGACGGAGGGAGGTGATTTACCCTTGAGCACGTTTTTGGCTCAGAGGGCACAGCTGGACCCAGACCCAACCTGTGAACATGAGAAAAAGAGGGAGACACCCAGCTGGCTCTCCCCGCCCACTTCAGAGAAGGGTGGTTGGAAGGCAGCAGCAGAAAACCCCATTTCTTGAGCGGCTGCTTTGTGAGGATCTATGCTAATTGCTGCACGTGGACTCTGCTAACTCCTAAAGTAGGAATGACTAGTTCCATTTTACAAAGAAGAAGCTGAAACCCGGGATGTGAAGTGGCTTGCCCAAAAGCCTCTAACTAACTGTAAGCAGAGCTGGAATAGTGGCGCCTGGAACATTGCCTAACTAGCCAGAGAGGCCAATTTCCTGGCCAGAGTCGTAGCGAGCAGCGAGGCAGCGAGGGTCCCCAGGGCTGCCACAGAAATCACGATGAATTGGCCCTGTCAGGTCTCCCTCATTTCTTTCTAACCAGTGGTCACTGCCCATCTTGTGTGAGGTCCCAGGTGAGTGCTGGTTATCGACTGGCCCCCAGAGCTGCCTTCTGCCCAGGAAATAGGCGAGGAATCCTTGGTGCTGCTGTAATCATTTAAAAACTAGAAGTCCCAGGGAATGCCTCCCCTCCCTGAGGAAGCTCAGAGCAGGTGAAAGATAGGAAATAAGAGGATCCAATATCTTATCCTGTTTTTGCCTTTCCCAGGCTGTGTGAACCTCCCCCTTCTCAGGTCAGCTGTGTTCCCTTTGGCCATTAGAATTCAGGGACTGGGGTCTCAGGGGCATCCCCTTTTGGTATGCGATTCTGTAACAGGCAGCAAGGTAAATTCTGTGGCGATCCAGGTGTGCAGGAGGCATCTGACCCAGCCCTCTTTCACCCACAAGAAAACCAAGGCCCAGGTGAGGGGTCAGTCGTGGTCTTCGGGAGCAGAAGACAACTATGTGAGGGGCTGGGTTCCTCCTTGAGTAGAATGTGATTCAGAGCCAGAGTTTAAACCTCTCACCCTTCAAGGTGCAGCCCTGACACTCCCTCTCCTGTAGCTGCTGGATATGTGTCGGTGACCAGCACCGACCGAGGGAGGGTTAGGACCCTCACCTGAGAGTCAAGACGGAGAGAAGAGACCACTCAGAGGCAGTTCTTCTGGGATCAGTCTGATCAGGACTGAGTCCAAATTTTATTCGGACTCCTTCCAACTTATTTACCATTTTCTATACCCTCCAGCAGTGTGATAATCACTTGCTGGGGGCGTACAAATTCCATGCATATCGTGCTTTACAAACTATGCATCACAAGACCATCACGAGACTTGCAAGTTCCAAGCAAACAATTACAATTCCATGATGCATGACGTACTTCACAAAACTTACATTAAAATCACAGGTGCACAATTTCAATACAGATTGTTCAAAGTGTTTTCCATAATGTTCAATAAATCATTCATATTATACTTTTTGTTCTAAACCCTGATTAATACAAAAACTTTCTAAGTTAACTCTAGGTTCAACCCAAGTTTACTGACTCCTAATATTTTTAACGATTAATATTATCAACTTAACACTATACTATAATCTATAAGTTTAGTTAAATGACTTAACTGTTAGTTATACTATTAACCTATTATGATTTAACGTAATGCCTTATAATTCAGTTAAAACTTATTCTTAAACTACCAAACTTTACTATAATTCATATGAGTTTCAAATGTCTAAACTTTAATTTTTATATAATCTGATGACTGAACTTTAATACTATGCTATATCTTATTAAGCTAATACCTTATCGTTAATTCTTTCATAAATCTTAATGGTAGTTGTCATACTCTTGAAC